ATACGGCGAGTATATCCCAAACTCTATATTTTAACTGGAAAAGTTGGGGGTCGTCTTATACGCCCAGTCGTCTTATACACCGGAAAATACGGTATGTTTAATATAGTAAAGTTAATCACTTTAGGGAAAAGCATATTTAGATAAATTGGAAGTATAAGTAGTGGAGCATTAAGAGAAACTGGATGTTGAGAGAGCATATATGAGCCATGTAACAACTAATCAAAGTGACTCTTGATGTTTGTAACTTTCTCATTCTTTTTTCTCCCCTTTTTTATACTGATGCTTTTTCTTTAATGCTGCGTACATTTCTTATATACTATAAGGGGGTAGGAGTCCTGCACCTGCTAGAAAAGAATTTGGAGGTAATAATATAATTGTGTTTTCAAACATGACTAATAAATAGCAAAACATCTATGGCTATTAATATAACAGTATATTTATCCTGAGAATATTTAATCTGATGCTTCCCAAAGGCAGAAGTTGATATATGTGTTGTGGCATATATTCAGTTACTTTAAAAAAATAATTCCTTTTAAAAAGCAATATATCTTTTTTTTTTTCCTGAGTCCTTAAACTCTATCCTCTCTCTAGAATTACAGTTTAATCCTAGGACAGCAGCTACTACTACTCGATGAGTAAATAAGGAGCATGACAATATTTTTTCAGCAGTTATTTACATGCTATAGTCATGTCAGTTAAAATTGGTCCTGACCATCATAATTTAAACGTAGTCAGTATGCGCAACACACTTTTTTTAACTTGTCTTAACTTCAGACCAGATGTTTTTCTCCATGAGGAGCATGGTAAAAAGGATGATTGTGATTAACTGATAGTCATTCAGGTAGGTAGTAACATTTCACAGATTAAGACTAGTTCATCCACAATACCTTCTCTTGTGGTTTTAAGGTAGAAAAATCAGTAGAGAAAATTGTTTAGTTTTATATTATTTAAAAAAAGTTACTGTAAAAAACAAAGTTAAATAGAAATTAGAAGGAACAGTCACAAGAGTGAAATGCATGCAAATTGCATGAAATTTTTTTTAAAAACACCATTATAGAGAGACAAACTAAAAAAGGGAAAGGAGAAAAAAAAAAGTACAAGGGCCAAAAAAAGGCACCATGGCTAAATAACAGATTGAAAGAGGCAGAGAGAGAGAGAGACAAAAAAATCTTTTAAAAATTGGAAGTCAGGTCTTACTGAGGAAAATAAAAGGGAGTATAAACTCTTGCAAGCCAAGTGTAAAAAAGGATAATTAGGGAGGCCAAAAAAGAATTTGAAGAGTAACTAGCAAAAGACACAAAAATTAACAACAAAATATTTTTAAGTACATCAGACGCAGGAAGCCTGCCAAACAATCAGTGGAGCCACTGGATGATCAAGGTGCTAAAGGAGCACTTAAGGTAGCGAAGCCTTTGAGGAGAAGCTATATGAATTCTTTGCATCGGTCTTCACTGCAGAGGAATTGGGGGAGATTCCCACACCTGAGCCATTGTTTTTTGGTAACAAAAAGGGAACTGTCACAGATTGAGGTGTCAATAGAGGAGGTTTTGGTACAAATTGATAAATTAAACAGTAATAAGTCACCAGGATCAGATGGTATTCATCCAAGAGTTCTGAAGGAACTAAAATATGAAATTGCAGCGCTACTAACTGTGGTATGTAACCTGTCGCTTAAATCAGTCTCTGTACCAGATGACTGGAGGATAGCTTATGTAATGCCGATTTTTAAAAAAGGCTCCAGAGGTAATCCTGGCAGTTACATGCCAGTAAGCCTAACTTCAGTACCAAGTAAATTGGTGGAAACTCTGGTAAAGAACAGAAATATCAGACACGTAAATGAACACGATACGTTGCGGGGGGTGGGGGGGTTGTCAACATGGCTTTTGTAAATGGAAATCATGCCTCACCAATCTATTAAAATTCTTTGAGGGTGTCAAAAAGCATGTGGATAAGGATGATTCAGTGGACTTAGAATTCAGAAACTTGAAGTATGTCTCTGACAAGGTCCCTCATCTAAGGCTCTTAAGCAAAGTAAGCAATCCTGGGATAAAAAGGGAGGTCCTCTCATGGATCTGTAACTGGTTAAAAGATAGGAAGCAAAGGGTAGGAATAAATGGTCAACTTTCATAGTGTAGAGAGGTAAATAGCGGGGTCCCCCAATACTCTGTATTGGGACAAGTGCTGTTCAATATATTTATAAATGATCTGGAAAAATGGGTAAACAGTGAGGTAGCAAAGTTGCAGATGATACAAAATTACTCAAGATAGTTCGGTCCAAAGCAGACTGTGAAAAATTACAAAGGGATCTCACTAACCAGCATGACTGGGCTAACAAAATGGTAGATGGAATTCAGTATTGATAAATGCAAAGTAATGCACATGGGGAAAACACAACTATACATATAAAATGATGAGGTCTAAATTAGCTGTTACCACTAAAAAAAGAGATCTTGGAGTCATTTTGGATAGTTCTCTGAGAACATCTGCTCAATGTGCAGCGGCAGTCAAAAAAGCTAACAGTGTTGGGAATCATTAGGAAAGAGATAATAAAACAGCAAATATCATAATGCCACTACATAAATCCATGGTACACCCACAACCTTGAATACTATGTGTAGTTTTGGTCACCCCATTTGAAAAAAATATATATATTAGAGTTGGAAAAGGTACAGAGAAAGGCATCCATATGAGCTTCCATATGAGGAGAGATTAAGAAGACTGGAACAGTTCAACTTAGAAAAGAGACGACGAAGAGGGGATATGATAGAGGTCTATAAAATCATGGCGTGGAGAAAGCAAATAAGGAAGTGTTATTTACCCCTTCACATAACACAAGAACCAGGGGTCACCCAATGAAATGAATAGGCAGCAGGTTTAAAACAAACAAAAAGAAATATTTCTTCACACAATGCACATTCAACCTGTGGAACTCATTGCCAGGGGCTGTTGTGAAGGCCAAAAATGTAACTGGTTTCAGAAAAGAATTAGATACGTTCATGGGGGCTAGATCCATCATGCCTAATAGGCAGGACGGTCAGGGATGCAACCCCGTGCTCTGCATGTCACTAGCCTCTGACTACCAGAAGTTGGGATTGAGCGAGCGACAGGGATGGATCACTTGATAATTGCTCTGTTCTGTTCATTCCCTCTGAAGCATCTGACACTGGCCACTGTTGGAAGACAGGATACTGGGCTAGATGGACTATTGGTCTGACACATTATGACCATTCTTATGTTCTTATGAAGATAGCTACTTAAACTTGATTTCAGAACTTCAGGTATAAAATAACTGAATTGGAAGGTAATTCTGAGTATTCATATATGCGTGAACATACTATGTGTGTCACTCATTTTTAAATTTCCCGTTACTTCCACAAGAGATTCTTGAGTGAGAGTTAAAGTTAACATGTACCTGCTTGCAAGAAGGCACATGTTCCAGAAAAATAAAACTGCAGACTTTTGGTGAGTCTTACAAAACAGGATAAATGTTGTACACAGTACATAAGTTAACAACTCGTATTTTTATTGTATTGAGCCATAGATGTACGTAGCACTTAAATACATTTGAGTGGGGAGGACAAGGAAGCATTTCTGTGGCAGTTTGATTTATTTTATTTTTTTTAAATGGCAGCTGTTTGAAACTTTTCCTGGATTTGGAATGTTAGAATAAATAATGGGGAAATGGATTATTAAACAGGTGGAGGTGGCTAAAGGCATATTAAAATTGCATGTGGCTGTGCAATTAATCACATGGCTATAACTTATATATGCACACAATTAACTTCTGTGTGTGTGTTTACAGATCTATTATTCACAATTATCTCTACATGTATATTTTAAGTTAGAACGTAGAACACAAACCCTTTCACTCAATTTCTCAAGTTTAGATAGGTATAAGAAAGTGTGTTTATGGTACATCAGTCAAGCTGTCAAAATCCAGATTTGCCAGCATTTGGTAATCTGTAGTTTAAGATGAACCATTTTGGTTTTAGTTAAAATATACAATTTTAGAAAGCAGCTAATGTTGCACTTTCTGCATATTATTATATGGTTTGCTTGCATCATATGCCCTTGCCAAGTATTTTTCTGTACAATGACAGAATCCTCTCTATCCTACCTTCAGCCTAAGCTGTGAAAAAACTAGTGTGTCACTCAATGAGCATTGCAAATTATTATTTCATTCTTCTGTAACTAGTACATTAAAATTGTCATGCTATCTTTCATTTCCCATCCTGGCCATACATTCATCTCATTCTTTCTACCTTACTCGTCCCTTCTCTACTTCCCATGCACAGCTTCATGCCTTATGCCTTGCTGCTCCATACACTTGGAATAGGCATCCTCTGTATCTTCTTTCCAATCCTTCATAAAGTCATCTCTTCGAGCAATTCCTCCTTTCTTCCATCATTGTCCAATCCTGTGACACCTCTCCTTAAACTGTTGTCCTGTGTCTCATTTTGTTTCTTTCATCTTGTTTAGAACGTAAACTGTTTGGATCTGATCTATATTTATAATGCATGGTGTAGGTGGTACTACATACTGTAAAAAATGTTGCAGCACTTGGTATACAATAAATATCAAATTCTGTTCATAGACCCATGCAACACATACACTGATGTGAGTTAAGGATAGCTTTCATGTCCTCTTTAATTATAAATTGATGTACTAGTATGCATGTAAGTTGAATCCTTAACATCATTTTAAACATAGACACCTTATGTGGTAGTTTTGCCCATAATAATGTTTTTGGTTGTTTTTTTAACCTTTTATCTCAGGCACTTTACATCTTCAGGGTCTGTGGCACTCCTTCTTGTGCCGCTGTAAGCTTTGAAGACTCCTCGTGGGACTCTAAGCTTTCCCACAGTGTAATTATGTCTTGCATCTGTATTAGGAGTAAGCTAGAACTCAAGGGGTTTTTTTTGTCTTCAGCTTTTAGATATTTGCAAATGAATAATGCTTTTGCCTGATCATTCAAGCTATGATTGTCATTGGGTACCTTATAATAATAATTTAATAAATAAAATTAGCTTTCAGTTGTTTGGAATTCAGGATTCAGTTAGCATATTTTGTAGTGCCTTACATATTTATGGTTTAGAAACACATTAAGTAATTTCTTACAGAATATGAAGAAAGTTAATGATTGTGACTTGTCACCATTGTATAATATTTTTTCCTTTAGCAATACCAAGTTCTGTACAGAGAATATTTCTGTTTAACTGTACAAACGGCTAAAAGTTGCCTTTGTCAGTTTAAAAACTATTGTTAAAATGGAGTTAAATTTGAGGGTATGTACCAGTAACGTAGAGTGAATACGTTACAGGGACATTGTTATTATCCCAAAAACAAATATTATAAAACCAGGAAATGTATAGTTAAGGTTTACCTTAAAAGAATTACAAACACATTAAGGTATGAAGATACGCAGTTTATATACCCACACAACCTTTACTCCACCTTGTGGTGATGTCATGAAATAACCAGACAGTTAAGGATCAGTGCATAATGTTTGTACTCCCAGATTAGGCTATACCGATTTCAAAGACCTATTCAATTTTTATTTTTATTTTTAATTTCCCCCTTCTGGTATGTCTGTGGGGCAGAGTTAAGGTTGTTTGGATGCATTAGGACATGGCAATCATTTTGAAAATAAGTAATTCTTTGTGGAATTCTGTTTAAAACAAAAAACAAAATTCTGCATCCTTTACTGAAGAAATTTTCAGTAATGAAGAAAAATGGCAAAAAAGACCATTAATTTAAAAAAAGTTTTGACATAGGATGCTAAATTTCTGAAAGGAACACTTTTTAAAAAAAATGTCACTCTAATTAACAGATTTGCTTGTTAAGTCTCAGAAAATTCATTCAGTACTCAAGAGTAAGTGCTGTAATTTAAGTGTAAAACTCAACTCAGCCTTAACTATAGACTAGGGACTGGCGCTTCCATAATTTGGCTGTATCTGCTGTTGCTGTGCTAGGATAGTAGTGCTCCCAATGTTATGACCAGAGTGTTGGGACTGCTACTGTGCCAGTAGGCTCACACTGGGGGCAACTATATAATGAAGGAATTGTGGGGGCAGCCAGTCTGGTAACTGGAAGAGAGAAAGATGGGGAGAATAATCTTCATGCTGGACAAAATACATTTTTTAAATGTTGGGAAACAAACTTAAACAAGCTTAAAGAAACCCAAAAAAACCCTCTTCTAAGGACTAGTGGAAAGTGGACATTGACTAATGTGGTACCAGAATACTGTCATTAATCAAAACAGTAATTTGTTTATTGTGAAAAATAAACACAAAACAAATTTCAACGTTCTATCAGAAATAATTCATCCAGTATACACAACAATGGATTACACCTATCAGTTTCACTCCTTAAAGGTTTGTTCCTTGGAAACAGGGCTGTGAAGGAAATGTGAGACACTAGAAGAATTTCAGTCACAAGGCTCTTTTTAAGACTGTCAAAGCAAATGTCAAATGGTATTTTCCTCCACACGCTATTTAAAAAAAAAATCAAGAGGTGTATAAACTACAATAAAAGTGAAAAGTGATACTGTAACCCAAAAGACAGAATTTTTGTAGAGCTTTTTCACTATTGTTAAAATAGAAATCCTGGTGTAACGTTAACTATTAACATCAAGGGTAGCATTAGTGGTGGAAGTTGGGGTCATTTGATCCAGGGGTTCCCAATATATGGTTCCCCACATTATGATCTTTTAATTTTCAGTGTTTTAAAATCCATGTGTCTATTGGTATGCCAGAACAGAGTCAGGGGTATACTTGCTGTAAATTTGGTGTTGTTTAGTCCAAAGGTTTCTCAAATACAACCTCCCATAGGGTGCTGATTTTAATTCAAATTGCTCTAAAACTTGCATGCACAGTGAGATTGTTTTGAAAACTTGTATTCCACACTGGGAGCTGAGGTAAACATTGGGAGAGGGGGGAGGAGAACACTCAAGTAGTTGAACGAATCAGTTCATACCTCTGCAGTGAGGAAGATTGTGCAGAGTCTCTTCCTCCTACACTAGCCCCTGAGGTAGAGTATGGAGTCTGGGGCTTCCTTCCACTTCTCCTTTCTGCCTCCAACTGGTAGATGTGTTCAGAGCCCATCAGTTACTGCCTTCCTCGCTCCCTTGCTGAAGGCATGGAGGGGGTACAGGAAGAACAGAACTGGTAGCTGAGTGGCAGTGAGATGTTCCCAGGAAGCCTTCTTTTGCTCCCCAATCATGCTCTCCTCTCTACCACACCTTCCTCAAAAAAATAAGGGAAATTCACTTCCTTAACACAGAGTTATGGTTGGTAGCAGTGCCTTGTCCCCTTTCAGAATACTGAGTGCACCTATACTTAAACCTCTGAAAACGAGGAAATACAGGATGAAGTTACACACAAGTCCCACCCACAACATTAGCAATGCCCACTTTGAGTGAGTCTCCAACCTGCTCCTGGCAAATTTTTGTAGCACTCTGTCCTTCCAGATGCTCTGGGAATACAGCATATGGGTACGGAGGAGAAATCATCAGTGTGTGGCTTCACTAAGGCAAAAGTTGCATTTAAGGCAGTCTTAGTGAAGACTAGCTGACTCTGCCTGGCCTCTACTTGACCACTGAGATCTACTAATGAAAAGGACTATATAAGAGCTAGGTAATAATAATATAATATTTACTCTGCACAAATCACTCTATAGGTCCCGGATGTTACCATCCCTTTATCCATATCCTAAGGATTACCTCTGGAACATCCCCTGCACTTGGGTCTGTCTTGTAGTGCGGTGTTGTGTGCCACCAGACTACTATTTTCACAATCCAAATAACTCAGAATAGAAACAAGAGTCCCTCAGGCCTTTGGGCATAGCCACACCTCTCCTCATACTTCAGTGTGAACTGTGGGAATCTACTGCAAGATATAGCTGCCCCTAATACAATGAAGGTCAGTTGGTGTGCATACAAATGAATGAAAGAATACAGTTTTGAAGAACACTATATACCTGGTAAAATATCACATGTACTTAGTCATTCCTCATGTCTGCTTAGTATAGGGCAGCCCAGGCTGAAACATTGGGCTCATCTACATAGAGAACTAACCCCCTGTGTGGACACTTTATTCCAGAGTAAAAGTGACTTTATTACGGTATAATTACTCCCACATAAGTATAGCAGTATAATATAATTAAGATATTTTGTAAGAGTGCAAGGCTCTGCCAGTCAACTTTAATTATGCCTTAACAAAATTTTTAGGCAGTGAATATAGCAGAAATTTTAATTCTCTTCAACAAAAATGTAAAACTGAAGCCATGTAATATTTCTAAACATTAACTGAATTGTTGAATTATTTCCAATTAGTGTGACTTTCTTGTGCTGCTGCAAGTGGTAAGAGTGCAATATGGTTAGGCCACTTAAAAATTCCTTAAATATGAAAGCTCTTTTGTATGTTATGTCCTGTATGTTTCTGCCTCTTTTCAGTCTGCTGCTTTCCTTATGCAATATACAGCTTCTCTTCTTTCTCTGAAAAGGTCTTGGAGCTCCTCCCAGTCCTGGGGTAGCTAGGAGAGAAATAGAAGGTAACAATGATTTTTGCATGGTAGAAATGAATCTTTACATTAATATCTGAATGACATTAGTGACCTCGCTGCTTAAAGACATTCTTGCTGTTTAAGTCCATCAGTTTGTTGTGTAACTCCTAAACTTTTATCCTTCTACAGTATATTTTTCCAGCCTGTTTTCTATTTAATTACTTGCATTTGTTGGTTGCTTGCAACTTTGTTATGAGTCAAAATTCATTCATGAAAGATTAAGTGAAAAAATTAAACCATGGTAATGAAAACTTTCGAGATTTAATCTCAGAATTGTTTAAAATAATTCAGAAGGGTATGTGTGCAGGGATGGGTTAAGGTGAAATCTTTTAAATAGGTGCTTAGAGGTATGTGTTCTAGGCAGAAGATTTAGGAATAAAAAATATTTTATCTGTGACTAAAGCAGGGCTCTAGCAAGTTCTTTTTTCTCTCTCTCCCTTTTAAACAAAGAACTGAATGTCGTGTAATTTCAAGGGAGTAATTTTCACTAAAATATTTTAACACACTGAAAATAGAGTATTGCTGCAGTAGGAGGGGCTAGCTACCCCGCGTAAATGCCTGTTGTTTCGAATGGGCTCGTACTCGATACAGCTAGACCCTCCCCGTACCGCCATGGCTACATTCAATCTTCAGCGTGCTAGCTTAATTGGAGTTAGCATGGATATGTCTACTCCAACTGGAAATTACACCTTCCAGCTCTAATGTAGACATACCCTAAGGCCATGTCTACACTAGAGAGCTTACAGCAGCATAGCTGTACCGCTGCAGCTGTGCTGCTGTCAGATCTCCTGTGTAGCCACTCTGTGCCGATGGGAGAGAGCTTCCTGTCCACATAATTAAACCCACCCCCAACAAGTGGCGGTAGCATGTCTCCCACCAACATAGTGCTGCTCACACAGTGTCACTTATGTTGTTTGGGGGGCGGGGTTTCTACACCCCTGAGCAGCATAAGTTTTACCAACAAAAGTGCTAGTGTAGACATAGCCATTGAGAGCAGAATTATCTGCCAATGAGAGCAAATTTAACCAATTAAGAGCTGCCTGTCTTGAGATTAGACACACCCATTATTCGGCATCCTTCAAGTTACCACAGCTGATATTCTAACTGGGACCTTCATGATTAATAGGCAGTAGATCTGTCACTAGTGAGCCTCTCTCCCTTCCTGAGGCATTCAGAGGTGTGTGTTTGTGTCAGTTGGAAAGAATTTTTTTTTAAACATACTTTGCACTTCATAATTTGAGTGTTGCGTTCAAGGCTTATCATCAGAATCATCATTCAAATGTTGACCTCATTGTCAAAATGTTGTGTCCAATAACAGGAGGAAGTTAGAGCCAGGAATCTGTACATGAATTCTTTAACTCACTGAACAACGTACAGTTACAGACAGACTTTGTTGAGACCATGTTTTTGAATCAGCTCCTCTTCCTGAAACTCCTCCTTTTTGAACGTATAGCTGCCATTGCTGCAGAATATGCTACACAGTACAGCAACTTTCCTCTAACAGAGGCAATCTTAACCCTAATATCAATAACATAGGCAATATCTGCAGAAAGAGATCTCACACAAAGGTTTTTTCATCACTAATGCAATCCTATTGTTCCCATTTCTGTTAGTGATAGCATACCATTATTGCGTAATATCAGTTTGCACCTGATCTGTCAATGAAAATCTCATTTGTGACTGATTTTTCTTCATGCTTCAAAGTTCAAAAAAGCCCTGGAACACAAAGAAAAGATAACTTAGGTAATACAGATAAATGTTTGTTTTGCATTAATTATATTACAGAAAATTTCAACTTAGAAATATGTCCTAAATCAATGGTCTTTAATGGCTTTGTTACAGTTCGTAGTCAGCCTCTACCTCCAGCCGGATTCACAAGCACAGGAACTGTTGGATATAGTGCAGCCAGACCGGTAGGCATTCAAACTTTAAATAATCTTCCTTTTGAAGTTTTTATACTGTATTAGTTAGCTGAGAGGTTTTCTTAGGAATGGTGTTATGGATGAGAGAGATGTAAAATTGAGTGGATATCTTACAAGTTGTGTGAGGAGACACAATCTTAAATCATATTCATGCTGTGTTCAGACTGTAAATACACCAATAAAGATTTTGAGCTGACTGTGTATTGCCTTGGACCTTGTATAGTAATTTACACATGCAAAGTATAGATAAAACTTTATCAAATAAAAGTGATTGTGCTTTATGGCCACTTTTAAATAACAACTCAATGTGTGAAGCAGACTCAGACACTTTATAGTTATTTTGTATGTTTTATAATCTTGTTTAAAATGAGATGATTTGGAAGGATAGGATTTATCATCAGTGCTTATGTGCATTCTGAAGTCTACAATTAATTGATGTATAATGGTGGTTGTACCTTGATTTTAATCAACTTTAACACTTTGCCTGGGATCTTTGTATAACTGTGAAGGACTCGGTTGAATGTACAGTAGCCTTTAGTTCCTCTTTGTGCAGTGTTAGTGTGAACAAATTGAAATACTGCGTACAGTTTTCAGTAGTTTGGGTACTTTTCTACAAGTAAGACATCAAAAAATAGAGAGAGGGTCAAGAAAAGGGCAACTAATATTATCAAAATCGGATGGAATGACCTATGAGCAGGCAAGCTTGACAGCTACTAGTCAAAGGACTAAACTTGCTAACCAAAGGCTGATACGAAAAATTGTTGTTGGAGCAACAACTGACATTCAAGGGTGAAGCTCAGCCCATAGCTGGTGGTCTTCAGGGCTCCACTATTTATATCACCGCTGGGTAGTGGGTTTCAGATAAATTTGAAGCCACCCACATCTCTGGCTCCTAGAAGGGAAAATGAATACTTGCAAACTCTTTATTTCTTCCCACCTGCCCCAGAAGCCTCCTAATTGTGAGAGGGACTTGAGTGCTCTGTCGCATTCACCTGCAGTGAGTTGGCAAATACTTTTTCCAAGAGTTGCCTATGGGGAAAAATTAAAAGGGGTTGGATATTGTGGCAAAGTCAGACTGCACAGCTCTAAGAGAGTGGTGGAATCCGTACTAGAATGGTAAAGACCCTTTTCTCCATGAGCTGAAAAGAAGCTACCTCAGGTCAACTAGGGAAGCCAGAGTCCAATTAAGGGCTGCTTGTGACCTTTAAAAACCCCTCTTCTGGTGAGAGAGAGGTGGAGAGATGAGAGAGAACCTGCAGCAGGGAGAAAAGACTTCTCCTGGGTGGAAAGCTTCTCTCCTCCCAGCAACCAAGCTAATTGCCTGTTTGGGGAAGAACTGGCACCCAGCATCACAAGGCAACATCCCAGAGAGGGGACAGGGAAAGGTATTCCCTTGTTCTGTTGTGAATTTGTTTCTTTGGTTTGGCTGAAGAGTACTACTCCCTGGGCCTTGTAAATATTGGGGGGGGTGGGGAAGGGGGAATACCCAAGTGAAGAATAAAATCTTCCTTAGTGGAACTGATTTACTCCAGGTCCTTCCACCACAACCCCACAACCCTGACAAAGGGGGGAAATGCTGAGCCCAACAAGGCAAAGGAGGTGCCTTGCCACAACATATATATTTTGTTAAAAAGACTACTAAGAGGTGAGAACTGTCTACAAATATCGGAGATAATTGTTTAAAGCTTTGTTGATGCTTCTCACAATGCTTTGCAAAATATCCTAGGAAGAACCTGTATAGTATTTACTGGGTTGTGGAAGGCTTGTATTTATTAGGACATTTGCATGAAAAACGGGAGCTCTGTTGCTTAGGAGATGTCTGCTCCTTCTGTTTGTTCCTCACTGCAATCACAATAGCCATTTCAGAGGAAAATAATCGGCAGTAGCATATTCTAGATAGAATATTTTTGTGTGTGTTTGAGGCATTAAGTGCCCATCAATTTGTGAAAGAAAGCAGCTATGGAATAAACTTGTTAAAGGGAATTTAGGCTAAATATAAGGAAATATTTTTGAAAATAAAAATCACTTAGGCTATATTTTGGTCTTCTAAAGGAAGTTGTAGGGAATTCCACCAAAAGAGCCATTTACAAAATGCTTGAAGATATACGGGGTTAAGATGTTGTTGGTTTTTTTTGTATCAGTGTCTGCCAGTACATTCTGTTTCCTAGTGAACTGACGAGGAGAGAGGCAGATCCAGACCAATCACTTTTTGGCTTTGGAGTTAAGCTCTGTCTCCTTAATTTCTTGGATACTTATAGCATTTTATCTAAACAAAACAAAAGGCAGCAAAATTGAAAATTTACTTAAATTTCTAAATTGACTCCTTGGCCTTTCGCTGGCTATTAGAGAATGTTGTCGCCCTTCTCTAAGGCACCTCAGTAGTGCTCCTCCTTGGACAGGCTCCCAAAATGACTGACAAGACAGAGGCCAAGGCTAACAGTCCTGAGAGACTGCTTAGGTCATGTCTGCATGGTAGGACAATGCACACTGTGGGAGTGTGACTTCTAAAGCACTCTCATATGTTGTGCATTAATTGGTCCGTGTAGACTCTGCTGGTGCGCACCAGGGAATTTTTAGATAGTATTGTTTGAAACAGCACTATGTTAAAGAGCGCTAGAGAACTATTAGTGCATACCTGCAGAGTTTACATAGACCAATTAAGGTTCAATATGTTAGTGCTCTTTAGAGATCACACCCCTGTAGTGCGCATTACCCTACTGTGTAGACATGACCTTAGCCTGCATAGATCTCCTCTTAGGAGGTACTGAAGGGAATTTTTGCCTCTACTGCAAATAGCTCCAAAGTTTTCTTCCATTATCAATACAGCACAAGAACTCAATAGCCTACCACCAAGTCAGCACTTAAGTTAGATCACCAAGTCCTAGGCAGGAGATAATCAGTTCTGAGATCTCCTCAATCCACATGGCTTGATGGCCTAGCTGCTGACCAGGAGGAAGATGTGTTTGGGAGAAACCATTGAGGAAAAGTCCTTGCTAGCCATAAAGTTGAATCTGAGTCGTCTATCCTCCACAAAACCAGAAATGTAGATACCTCATTGTGGACGCACTTCATACCACCTTAGCTAGAGAGAGAGCAAAGACCCTGCCAAGAGAAAGCAGAGGTTATTTTCAATCTTCAGTTGTTGTTCCTAGACAACTACTACTGAATCAACTTTCCTGCTGCCTCACACCTGACTAGTGCAAGCGTTTTGAGGTAATTTTTCAACAATCTGGCCTTCATTGTTACACCAGAAGTGTTAAACTGGCTGTTTTCATTTCTTAGGAAACAGACACAGTTTGAGCCATGGGAAAAATCTTTTCCTGTCCCTTTTCTGGAGCTGACATGAGACCGTTGCCATTACTAACCAAAAAGGGATACTCCAAAGAAGTTGTTAAAACGGGCTGGCATCCAGCAAAGATTCCACCAATAGTTCCTATTCCAGGAAATGGCTTTAATTCAACCATTGCTGTTAGATGAATAAATCAGATCAAAATCAACATTTTGTACCACTTTTTCAAAAAATTAAATTTGGGGCTAAAAGCCAGTTCCTAGAAGGTCCACATCATGGCAATTGCCGGCATAATTCAGTAAAACAAACCAGATCTCATCCCTTCCTAACTGTATGTGAAGGATTTCTTAAAGCCCTAACCCACTAATCATTCAAATCTCAGAGCTCAATTTCCTTATTTTCCTTGCCTTACACAGCCTTTCTGGCAGCAGTTATTTCTGCCAGAAGACTTTCAGAATTAGAAACACCACGGTGTCCTATTATTGCTTATTCCATGAACACTGAGGGGTTTTAAGGACTGCTTCAGCCTTTATTTCTATTCTATTCCGATTCAGAGGAGCCTGTATAGGTTTCCTAAAGAAAACAACTTCTTTTATAAATCTTGGAATATAATCCTAAACATCCAAAGGAAAAGTGGGCATGTTTCTTGGGATGGATTTTATTCTAACAAAACTTGTTTCTTAAAACTACCTTGGTTGGTTGGGTTTTTTTGTTTGTGTTTTTGTTTTGCCGCTTGGCAGTCAAAAGGGAGAAAGCTATACATTTTTTTTTTTGATGCTTGATAGCTTAAAGCATTTAAAAGTCTGGATTTAACCCAGGTATACTGGACCACGGCCATTAAACATTGTCTTCTAAATCTAGTAAATGTATTAGGCCAGATCAAGGGTGATTGCTTCTTTTTTTTTTTTAAGAGACAGTTTGTAAGAAGAATTGTGTATAAGTTTTGTTCCAAAAAAATCCCTGGGATATTCTCACTGCTGTTAAATCTCATAGTAGGATTGGCAACAATGGATAAACTGGGGACAGAAAACATTTGCTTTACGTGATCATTCGGTTTCTTCTGGTTTCCATTCTTGGCAGCTTGACTCACGCCACACGCAGTTTATAGGCATGTGTGTTCTTTCAAATTATATTCCTCTTTGGAATAGTTTCATATTTTTCCTTTAATGCTCTGCTCTACAAGTTCATCAAAAAAGGATATCCAATAGCCAACATATTTACTGGCGCTCTTTGGTTAGGCAGAATGTCTCCATCCTGCCTGGAGACAGTATACCCACATGTAAGATTTGCAAACATGGGTTCTAAAGAATAAGTCCCATGTCAAGCATAACATTTTCTGTACTGCACATCACAGGTCTTCGGGGCATGGAATGCATTATAACGGGGGTTTGTAAAGGGCTTGGTAAACTTTTATAGTGCTGTATAAATGGTTTACAGTGATGGACTGTTAGGTCTTTTCCATCCCAGAGTATCTTTGAGTCCGGAAAATGGTGATTCTTCATTCCCATCCTGCAGTAATCCTTTGCTTCTGATTAGAAATGACCTCTGAGTAGTTTTCAACTCCACCAAAATTTTATTAACAGTTTACCAATTCTGATAAACTACTACTACTTTCAGAATGACATGAACATATATTTCTTGAGACCGCAGAACAAAAGTTGGAAGCCACCTATGTGACTCCCACTTCTCTGGGTAAAAGACTGTCTTTTTGTTATGTGTTTGTACAGTTCTGAGAACAGTAGGGCCTCTGGTCTGACTAGGGGTCCTTGGCACTGCTGCAATACAAAAAAAATCAGCAGTCATCATTCAGCAGGAGATCACTTCAATTCCAGAAGTATAGCTTAAGTATTTTATTTTTACCAATTATTATTTCAGACTGTTCCACCCCGAGCTGGAGTTATTAGTGCACCACAAAGCCATGTCCGTCCATCTGTGGGGAGGCCAACACCTGAAACCCAAACCAAGCCAGCTGAACCACCAAGAGGTAATACTATACTTTAGAAGAAAAGGAAATGTAGTGTACTGTTTAATGGCAAATCTAGGTTGGCTGCTTTATTACCCTATCCAAATCTGCCCACCTTTACCTTTGACTTGCTTCCAACTGAAAAAGCCATCAGTTTTCTGTGAAAATGAAGATTCTTGCATGTAATCATGTATGGCCGTTCCTCGTAATTAAGGCTGCGAGTTTGTCATGAAGGTCACGGAAGTCACGGATTCCATGACTTTCCGTGACTTCCGGGATTTCTGCAGCTGCCGGTGCGCCTGGCTCAGAGGCAGCTCAGGCAGCCCCTGTGCCAGTCACACTGGCTGCTGCTGGGGCAGTCTTGGGCCACTGTGCCCCCCTCCTCCAGCAGCAGAGTTGGGGGCAGGCACAGGATGGGGTGAGGCGGGCTCTGGGTGGCGCTTACCTGCAGGGCTCCCTGGAAGCGATGGCATTCCCCTCACTCAGCTCCGTCCTAGGTGGAGGTGTGGCCAGGCAACTCTGTGCGCTGCCTCTGCCCAGAGTGCTGGTTTCGCAGCTCCCATTGGCGGGGAACTGCGGCCAATGGGAGCTGCGGGGGCGATGCCTGCAGGTGGAGACAGTGTGCAGAGCTTCCTGGCCACGCCTCCGCCTAGGACAGAGTTGAGCGAGGGGGATGCCACTGCTTCTGGGATGCTGCCCAGAGCCTGTCTCACCCCGTCCCATGCCCCAGCCCCCTGCCTCCCCCCCTCCCCCCCACCCAAACTCTGCTGCTGCTGGGGGGTGGGAGGAGGTGTGGAGCCAGTTAGGGAGACTGCTGGCCCTGCCAACACACCCCTTCCCCCCAGCACCCGCAGGAGTCCCGTGCCACTGCCATGCATCCGCAGGGGTCCCGGGTCGCATGCCACTTTCCCCAGTACCCGTGGGGCCTCCAGGAAGGGCCCCCCCCACAATTTTTTAATCATGGGTATTTTTAGTAAACATCATGGACAGGTCATGGGCCGTGAATTTTTGTTGACTGCCCATGACCTGTCCATGATGTTTACTAAAAATATCTGTGACTAAAACTTAGCCTTATTCATTATTCCATAATGCATGGAATAATCTAAGGCAGCAGCCAGTGCCTTAAACTGCACTTAGAAATAAACTAGCAGCCAGTGTAGATCATGGAGCCTCAAGTGTAATGTGCTTTTAGAGGGAAACAACAGTAACTCCTCACTTAACGTTGTAGTTATGCTCCTGAAAAATGCGACGCGATAAGCGAATCCAATTTCCCCATAAGAATTAATGTAAATCGGGGGTTAGGTTCCAGGGAATTCTTTTTCACCAGACAAAAGACTATAGTGTGCGTGTGTGTGTGTATATATATATATATATGTACACACACACACACACACACACAGTATTAAGTTTTAAACAAACAATTTAATCCTGGTACACAGTGATGATGATTGTGAAGCTTGGTTGAGGTGGAGGAGTCAGAGGGTGGGATATTTCCCAGGGAATGTCTTACTGCTAAATGATGAACTAGCAATTGGCTGAGCCCTCAAGGGTTAACTCTCACACTCTACAAAGCAGCAGGAATAGAGGGAGGGGAGACAGCATCACAGACAGAGAGACACACCCTGTGAGAAAGAGAGAGATGCACATTTCCCCACTGCCTTGTTAATTAGATCAGCTTGCTGAGACCACAGCTGCTGCTAGAAGCTCCCTCCATCCAGAGCCCTGTTGTGTGTCCCCCCTGCTCTATGGAAGATGGGATAAGTGGGGTGCAGGGGGGAGGGGGACACACTAACATTTGCCCCCTTCTCCCTCCCCTCCCCCCCCTCCTCCCGCACAGCAAGCAGGAGTCTCAGGGAGCAGCTCCAAGGCAGAGGGCAGGAGCAGCACATGGCAGAGGGGGGAGGGACAGCTGCAATTGCTAGCCTGCTGGGCAGCTGCTGCACAGGGAACTTAGGGGAGCGGGGAGCTGATGGGGGCTGCCGGTCCACCCTGGTTCCAAGCCCCCACCAGCTAGCTGCAACAGGCTGCTCTTCCTGCAAGCAGTGGACAAAGAAGGCGACTGCCAAACGATGTTAGAAGGGAGCATTGCACAACTTTAAACGAGCATGTTCCCTAATTGATCAGCAACATAACAATGAAACAACATTAACCGAGACGACTTTAAGTGAGGAGCTACTGTACTTAAGAAGTGATAGGTTCTTCTTCGAGTGCTTGCTCATATCCATTCCATTAGGTGTGCGCG